TATATATATATATTTCACCTACTTATGTAGAATAATATTTTGTGGAGTTAGGGATATTAATAATAGTTTACTTTTAGTTGAATAGTATCCTGGGATAAGGTTTGGGAAGTCCGGGGGGTGGGGGGTGGGGGATGGGTTTTTTTTGCATTGTGATGTACTTGTGATGTGTTTTTTTTTTATGATAAAAATAATAAAATTTATAAGGAAAAAAAAAATCTAACGAAGGGGGGGGAGGAGGAGGAGCAGGGCCGCTTTTGGCGCTTCGAAGGGGGAGGCGTTGGGGGGTGGTGGCCTAAGAGGCAGTTTGGCTGCGCCGCGCCCTCCCCCATGCCAGAAGCCGCGCCAGCCTTGCTCCTCCTCCTCCCCCTCCCCATTCCTTGGAACTGGCTGAGTTGCGAGCGACGAAGCCCTTTAGAACGGTGTCCCTCCCTGTCCCAACGTGCCATTTCGCCTCCGGGCTGGGAAAATAAATAAAAAATAAAAACAAGGCTGCAGACTTTTCTACAAACAGCCTCTCCCTTTTCCTTGCCCCTCCTGCCCGCCCCCCAAGTCTCCCCATGCAACTTCTTTCCCCATTGCCCTCTGCTGTCCCCGCTTCCCCCCTCCCCGTTACATATAAATGGGACCAGTCCCCAAGATCATGTATGTAGGCTCAACCCTGGCTGAGTTGTGGCTGCCCAAAGAACCGGCTCTCGCTCTCTATTCCGCTCTTTTCTGCCAAAGGCAAAGGGGGATGGGTTAGCAAAGAGATGCCCACAGGTTTTATAGGAGGCTGAAGGAAACTCCAGGGGAGGAAGGGCAGGAAAGGGGCTTAGAGTAGGAGAGACCCAGCCCAGGACGCGGCTCTCCCCCTCCCCTTTCTGCTTCCTCTCCTCCGAGTCCCAAGCCCCCCCCCAGAACTCACCGCAGCCGCCCCCCCGCAAGGAGGCCCCCAGCACCGCTCCCAGCAGCAAGAGGGGCGCCCGTGGCAGACGCATCGCACACCGTCTATCGTCCACGTGCCCACCTGGCACCGGAGAAGCCGTCCTTGTCACCGCTCCTTTTGTCCCCGCCCCCTTTTCCAACGCGCTTCGCTCCCGGAGCCTCCAGGGCTGAATGCCTCGTGGAGATTCTCCTCCCCCCCCCCCCCCCCCCGCTGCAAAGTCTGCGTGTCCGCGAAACTCCGCCGCTCTCTTTCTCTCTCCCACCCCCAGGAAGGGAGCGCGAGCGGGGTCCTAGCCGGAGGCGGCCCCACAGTGCCCGGCGATCCCCTCTAGACTAGAGGATGACCAGCAGCCAAGTTTAGCAGGCAGACGAGCTGGGGACGCGTGTTGCGTGAACGGGCATTTTATGGTACAAAAATACAAAAAACAAAAACAAAAATCATTTATTGTCAAAGTACGACATGTGTACAATGAGATTGGCTGAGCCTCCCTTCGTGCACCCCCCCATCACAACTCACGGCGACAACAAACACACAATCTTATTGCACCATGTGAACTTATTGCACAATTGCTGACCAGGGTGTGAGTCATCCCTGAGGATTTTCCTCACTCTGCCAAGGCAACCGGCCCTAGTGATGTCATCCAGTAGTATCACGGGCCTGCCCACGTTGTTGTGTGCTGTGCTCACCACCCTCTGTAGTGTCTTTCTATCCGCGGCTGTCAAGCCAGCATACCACACCATAATGCAATGTGAGAAGACACTTTCTATAGTGGACCTGTAAAAGGAGGTCATCAGTCGTTGTTCCACTTTGTTCTTTCACAAGACCTTGAGGGAGTGGATTCTCTGTTGGGACTTTCTGGCCACCTGGGTTGTGTTGGTTTTCCAGGTGAGATCTCCGCTGAGGTAGACTCCCAGGAATTTAAAGGAGGAAACTCTCTCCACAC